AACATGTCTGGGGATGGAGTAGGAATCCTCCAGGGGCATCTCCATGAAGCTCTCCTGGAGGTACTCTGAAAGCCTTTGCAGAAGGTTTCTGGGGAGGGCTGCCTTATTTTGTCCTCCATGGTAGGACACTTTACCATGCCAAGCCAGTAACAAGTAGTCTGGAATCATTGCAACACAAAGCATGGCAGCAAATGGTCCTGGGTTTTGGTCGCATTCATGCAACATTCGGTCTTTATCTTTCTGTGTCAGCCTCAAGAGAATGCTATCATTCATGGTCACCTGGTTAAAATAGGAGAATTTTTATAAGGGAACAGTAAAAGGACCCCATTCATGATGGGCTGTTTGCACTTGGCTAAAAGGGATCATCCCGGAGAATAGCCACGCGGTGGCGGGACGGGTGTGCTGCACATCCAACCCAAAACCGCAGCCCCTCCTTTTAAACAGCAAACCCAACTGGCATTGCTTGCTATGGGACAGGAGGGCACTGCAGTTTGAAACCATTCCCACGTGAAGGCAGAAGAAGCCAACCCCGCATACCTTTGGCTTACCATGGCTACCTGGAAACCGAATTCTGTTGCCCAGCTGTGTGTGATGTGTCACCATATCGGCAGGCGCTCAATATAAAAGGCAAAATGTGACCTTGTACCTAAAGCAAATGTGCTGTCTTCTGTGAATTGCTTGATTCACTGTGAAAGAGTCTCCCTTTTGTTCTCAGACATGTATCTTCTTAAATTTTACTCTCCCTTTTTATCCCCCCTGCAGGTGCAAATGTTTCTATGCTCCCTGTATCATCTCCAGCCCTGAGGTTATCGCAGATCAGAAGGAGAAAAAAATGCACTCATGATGACGTTTTCCCAGCTCATGCAGTCTTCCTGCACTGATAGGGCACAGCTGAATGCATGGAGGCATTCGGTGGCAGAGGCCAGGAAAGCATTCAGTGAATGTGATAAGAACACACAGGAGCAGATCCTGAGGCTAATGGGGGAGCAAACAGACATGATCAGGCATCTGGTAGAGCTGCAGGAAAGGCAACAAGAGCACAGACCGCGGCTGCATCCATTGTATAACCTCCTGCCCTCCTCCCCAAGTTCCATATTCTCCTCATCCAGATGCCCAAGAATGTGGGGTGGGGGAGACTCCGGGCACCCAGCTACTCCACTCCCGAGGATGGCCCAAGCAACAGAAGGCTGTCATTCAAACAGTTTTGATTTGTAGTGTGGCTACAATAAGCAATGTGGCCTTGTCCTTCCCCACCCCACCCAGGCTACTTTGTCAGTGATCTCACATTTTTTAATAAATAAAGAATGCATGGATTCAAAACAATAGGGACTTTATTTCCTTTGCCAGTGGGGAGGGGGATTGGCTTACAGGGAAGTAAATTCAACAAAGGGGGCGGTTTTGCATCAAGGAGAAACACACAACTGTCACACCGTAGCCTGGCCAGTCATGAAACTGGTTTTCAAAGCTTCTCTGATGTGCAGTACGCCTAGCTGTGTTCTTCTAATCACCCTGGTGTCTGGCTGTTCAAAATTGGCCGCCAGGCGATTTGCCTCAACCTCCCACCCCGCCATAAACATCTGCCCCTTACTCTCTCAGATATTATGGAGCACACCACAAGCAGCAATAACAATGGGAATATTGGTTGTGCTAAGGTCTAACCTAGTCAGCAAACCATGCCAGCAAGCTTTTAAAGGTCCAAAGGCACATTCTACCACCATTCTGCACTTGCTCAGCCTATAGTTGAACTGCTCCTTACTACTGTCCAGGCTGCCTGTGTATGGCTTCATGAGCCATGGGAGCAAGGGGTAGGCTGGGTCACCAAGGATAACTATTGGCATTTCAACATCCCCAACAGTAATTTTCTGGTCTGGGAAGTAAGTCCCTTCTTGCAGCTGCTGAAACAGCCCGGAGTTCCTAAAGATGCGAGCGTCATGCACTTTTCCTGGCCATGTTGATGTCAGAGAAACGTCCCTTATGATCCACCAGTGCTTACAGCACCATTGAAAAGTACCTCTTGTGGTTTATGTACTGGTTGGCAAGGTGGTCAGTGCCAAGGTAGGCATATGCATTCTGTCTCTCGCCCCACCACGGTTAGGGAACCCCATTGCAGCAAAGCCATCCACTATGACCTGCACATTTCCCAGAGTCACTACCCTTGCTAGCAGAAGGTTAGTGATTGCCTTGGCTACTTAGATCACAGCAGCTCCCACAGTAGATTTGCCCACTCCGAATTGATTCCCGACTGATCGGTAGCAGTCAGGCGTTGCAAGCTTCCACAGGGCTATCGCCACTCGCTTCTCAACTGTCAGGGCAGGTCTCATCTTGATATTCCTGCGCTTCAAGGCGGGGCAAAGCAACTCACACAGTTCCATGAAAGTGGCCTTACGGATGCGAAAGTTGCGCAGCTTCTGGGAATCATCCCATACCCACAACACTATGCCGTCCCACAAAGGTGTTTACAATGCTCACAACAGCAGCGGTGAGCTGAGTGGGCTCCATGCTTGCAGTGCTATGGCATCTACATGGGTAACCCAGGAAAAAAGGCACAGAATGATTGTTTGCCGTTGCTTTCAAGGAGGGAGAGAGGGGAGACTGACGACATGTACCCAAAACAACCCGCAACAATATTTTTGCCCCATCAGGCATTGGGCGCTTAACCAAGAATTCCAATGGGCAGCAGGGATGTGGGATAGCTACTCACAGTGCACCACTCCGTGAGTCGATGCTTGCCACGGTACTGAGGATGCACTCCGCCGACCTACTGCGCTTAGAGGGGACATATACAATCGACTGTATAAAATCGCTTTCTAAAGATCGACTTCTATAAATTCAACCCAATTTCCTAGTGTAGACATACCCTTATTCTGAGAGTTTTACACCTGGAGAGTTTCAACACAAAGGAACCTCAGAGCTTCAGCTGTCTGACAAAGGAGAGTGCTTTAACCCACACAATTCTCTTATTGACTGAGTGCACTTATTGCAAGGCATTCCAGCTCTTTCTGTGAGAAGTTTCATCCTGGGTGCTTATATGTCAATGACCCTAATGGGCAAGTCAGAACCATGTACAACTTCCAAATATACTCCGCGGGGACTTGAAAGCCTATAGGGCATTTGTAAATACTTAATAAACACATAAATTTTGAACTACTTAATATGTTCCCTAAATCATTTATAATGAAGCATGTAACATTTAACCATTAACGTTGACTATTTAAATAATTCACATAGAACTGGACATAATTGAGTTAATTACAGAGCAGTATTATTTAAGAATAAACTTTGCTTTTACATCTAGCCCTCTGTAATGTGAAGCAAGGTGCCTAAATCAGTTTTAGACACCACTGCAATTGACAAAATCCCTGCTCAGCTGCCACCTAATCCTGTAAGTGCCTAAACTCACTTGGCACCTAAATTTCCATTGTAAAAATTCCCGAGGTGCCTACATATTTGCCCCTGAGCATGTGCACTGCTGTCTCACTCTAGGTGTCCGGATCCCTATCTCCCCATTAAGTCCCACTGCAATCCAGGAACAAGGAAAAATAGGCAGAGGAGTCTCATCCATGGGGCCCAATCCAGCTGGCATGTTTAGGGGCCACATACCAGATCAGGTCCCATTCAAAATATAACCAGAGGAGAAGATGGTATCCACCTTACCACTTTCAGCCTAGTGGTTAAAGTAGTCATCAGGCATGAGAAAAACCTGAGTTCAAATTCCCTCTCTGACTGATAGGAGGATGGATTTGAAGAGCTGTCTCTCCACCTCTCAGGTGAATACTCTAACCATGGAGCTATGGCTATTCTAACGTTGGATGCTCTCAAATTTTCCTGGTGAACCTGTTGCTCCTTGGATAAATACTTAAGAGTCATTAGGCCAAAGAGAGTCATTAAAGAGAGAATATGAATCTGTACATTTGGGGTTAGCATGACCACTTGCAAGGTGTAAGATACAGGGTCCAGTCCTCCTGCACCAGCGACTTTTTCATTATTTGTAGATAGTGGAACAGTTTTAACAGAAGAGAATGAGGGGGCCTCATCAGAATAATCCATAGCTCAGTGGTTACAGCACTCTTTTAGGATTAGAAGAGGAGTTTCCTACCTATTTTCTTCTCATAAGACAAGGGAGAATTGACCTGCTCTCCCAGGTCCCAGGGGAGTGCTCTAATCAGTCTAAAAGTTATAAGGTGAGCAGCAGCATCACCTCCTCACGCCTCTAGCCACTTTGTGTGGAGCAAGGCAAGCATCTCATTTTCACAAGAAATGCCTTAGGTGCCTAAATCATCTGACTTCAATAGAAGGGTTCCCAGACTGTGGGTGACTAGCAGAGACAAGCACCTCCTGCCAGCTGCAACTTAGGTGCCTAGCTCAGTGCAAGAGGAAGGGCTTGTTACGCACCCCTCTCGTCAGCATCTTCCCTTGGCTAGTTGAGGCAGCTCCCCACCTAGCATACTGGTTTCTGTTAATCCCATTCTTAGTAGGGTTGCCAACCCTCCAGGAATTAAAGATTATGTCACATGGTTAAATCTCCAGGAATACATCCAAACAAAATTGGCAACCCTAATAATTAGGTGCCCAGCTCTCCCCATTCATTGTATGGGGGGGAGCCGAGGCTCCCAACTCAGGCTTTGCAGCTAATAGGGCTGTTCCTCTGATGTTTTCTAAGCATAATGCTCAGTGTTGCAACCTCTAAGTCCCTGTGCGGACCCAGGCCCCAGTGCCTAGTGCGGGCGCAGCAAGGCACAGAGCTGAGCCCGTGGGTTGAGCCAGGCGCTATGGACACCCGGCCGGCGTGTTCTCGCCAGCTGGCAGGGCACATGGGAGGACCGGGCTCGGGGCAGCCCGGCTTCCGCACCCGGGCCCTGCACTAACCAAGCTCGGGGCGCCCGAGCTGCGACTGAAACGTACCCGGGACCTGCCGCCGCTGGGAAACCGGTCGCAAGCACCTGGCTAGCCGGCGCCAACTACGGTTCCCAGGATGCAGCGCGCGAGTCCCCGGAAGTGCGGGCGCTTCTGTTCTGCCCGACCGGAAGCGGATGGTGGTGAGGTTTGTTTCTCTTCCGCCTGCGGCCGCCTCCTCCATAACGGTAATGGTAGCGCCCCGGGGAGCGGGGTTTGTCCAGCGCCTCGAACCGGCCTCTCTGCCCGCCCGCCCGTGCTGGGGAGGGCTGAGGCTCCCACCGTCCCAGCCCCGCCTTCATGTGAGCCGCTGCTCGCCTCTCAGCAGTGCGGCCCTTCGCGCCACTGCAGGCCCGGCGCGCCCCCTCCTCAGGCTCCTGGGGGCTCGTAGCCAGACGGTTCCACCTTAGCGGTTATCAGACCAGAAACTGCCTAACGGAAACCTGGCTGGTGCAGCGCGGGCACGTGGGTTTTCCTGCCCTGTTGAAAAACCGGTTGTCACGCAGGTGCCAGCGAGGTGCGGCTGTCACCTGTCCAGAGCAGCCTTAACAAGACCAGGACAGACTCTAGTCCTGTAAAAACAACAAGGAGTCTGGTGGCACCTTAAAGACTCACAGATTTATTTGGCCATAAGCTTTCGTGGGTAAAAAAACACTTCTTCAGATGCATAGAGTGAAAGTTACAGATGCAGTCATTATATACTGACACATGGAGAGCAGGGAGTTACTTCGCAAGTGGAGAACCAGTGTTGACAGGGCCAATTCAATCAGGGTGGATGTAGTCCAC